CCTCATCCACAGTCTTGTGGAACACATTGACGACCACTCGATGGTTGCGGTGAACCGATGGGCGAGACTTGACGGTCAGCTTAATGACGGCCGGACACCGACCGCGGAGGTCGACGTGGATCTGATTATTGTGGGGCGTCGGCCGTCGCACCCATTGGCTCGAGTGGTCCACTCGGCTCGAGAAGTAGTCGATGGGACGTCGCCTCCGGAAGTAGTACTTCGTATCCAGTCGTCGCAACACACTGTCGATGGAGACAATCAATGGTAAGACACAGACAGTGACGGATCAGTCGATGGTATACTCACACGACTGGATTCATATTCATTCGGTTGAGACATTCTTCGGTCATTTCATGTCTATTACCATTGATGTGATCCTTGGGATCAAGTGGTCGACCGCACGGACAGCAACTCATGACACCGACTGTCTGTCCCTCACGTCTGTGTGTCACGTGTTTTGGGATTTATTTGAAGCACACGATATGTCTCACAACTTGTGAGTCACAAGCATTTCATTGGGTTTGTGGGGGCAGTGGTGGGCACGAGGGATATACACGTCGGGGGGAGTTCTGCACAATATTATTACATTGAGTCGGGGGGTGATTAGTAACCCTTTGCCCCGAACCCCCTCCCTTTGTCTATATAACTGGGTTTGTCGTAATTATGTGACCCAATAATTATCAATTATAATTATGCACTTTTATGACATATTTGTTAACACACTTATGACTTATATTTACAATAAATAATTAAGATGACCTAGCTTAATTTAAGTATCATATACCGTGGCAACTTTAATCATAATTAATATCTATAAAACCATACAAATAGTGAAAACATTTACAGTTATAGTCAATAACTTACAGCAAAAGGGGCCCAAAAAGGGGACACTTCAACACAGAAAAAGTTTATTTTCGTACGTAATTTGTGAGCAATAAAAACAAAAACACAAAATATGGCAGAAATTGAAGCGAAAAGTAGTTTTTGAATGAAAAAACAAACCAAAAAATTAAAACCAAACGACAATTAATCGCAAAAACAATTGGCAATCAAAACACGTAATCGTAAGCGACTTATGAATGCAATCGTAATCCACACTAAACTACATATAAATCGCTGAAAAACTACAACAAACTGATGATAAGGTAATTGAGTTTTGACTCAACACTCAAAACATTGACTCAAAACTCAGCACTCATTTCGTGTGAATTGCAGATATCGTTGCCACTGACCGGCGAGGAATGCTCTGGTGATCGGTGCGGATCCGTACGGTGTGAACAATGGGTGACATTCTTCGGGAGTGCGAGACAGAGAGGGCGCCGTCGCCCGCGAGACTCGAATATACGTCCGAAAAACATCCGCGACTTATCTTAGAGTCGCTGAACGTCTTGAGACGGCGCCGGGAGTTGTGTGATGTGGTGCTCATTGTGGCCAACCGTAAGATATTAGCGCATCGGGTGGTGCTGTCCGCCTGCAGTCCCTACTTCTTAGGTATGTATGGCTCGCCATCGGGTTATGTATCCGAGGAGTCCGTGTCACTGATGTCAATGTGTGTGTAGACACGGACCAGATCTCGAGATAATAAGCTAACCATTGAGTGATATCTGTGTCCACTAATCACCTCTCATATTACGACACGAATCCCATTAGCGATGTTTACGGGAGAGTTGGCCGAAAGCCGTCAGACGGAAGTGATGATACGGGACATCGACGAGCACGCCATGGAACTGCTGGTGGACTTCGCGTACTCGTCGCACGTGGTGGTAGAGGAGGCCAACGTACAGGTGCTCCTACCGGCCGCCTGTCTGCTGCAGATGACCGAAATCCAAGACGTGTGCTGCGAGTTCCTGAAGAAGCAGTTGGATCCCA